GCTCACTCTTTGTCATCCCCTACCTCCTACCCCCATGAGCGGCTCACTATCTCCCCCCATCCCCATCCCCGCTAGTGACTCACTCTCTGTTACCTCCTACCCCCCCTCCCCATGAACGAGCATCCCACTCTCTATCCCTCCCTCCCATCCCTGTCCCCGCTAAGGGCTCACTCTCTGTCAGGTGTCAATCACTTCCCTTCCTGTGGGCAGCACCTAAAGTGGAAAAACTCCACAAGAAGTTCTCCTTTCCCCTTCCGCTGACTTCCATACCTCAAGTGCCCAGGACAGTGACTGACTCACGACTGATGTGCAAAAATTTGTTGCAGAATCAGTTTTATATTGTCTCTGCTCAACAACTTTCTCTCTTCTGGCCCAGCAAATGGGTGACACCTCAGCTGGAAGCCAGGTCTATGGCCTCTTTGGAGAAACTTCCACTGTCTTCTGTTCTCCCAAGCTGCACAAGAAAGGTCTAGTGGCATCTCAGCCCTATTCTCTGTCAGTATCCTAATTTGTTTTTTGTTTTTGTTTTCAGAGACAGGCTTTTGATACCTGTCCTCGAACTAGCTCATAGACCAGGCTGGTTTCGAACTCACAGAGATCCACCTGCCTCTGCCTCCTGAGTTCTGGGATTAAAAGTGTGTGCCGCCACTGCCTAGCTGAGCATCCTAATTTGCACGCTGCTGCCAGTGTGTATTTTTGTTTCTCCATCACTCTCTTTCTTCATCCTTGAGTAGGTGCCTTAGTCCATTTTGTGTTGCTGCAGTAAAAGACCCACGGCTGGATACTTTCTACCATAAACAGGTTTATCTGGCTCATGATTCTCATGTTTGGAGCGTTTAAACAGCCTGGAGCTGGCATCCGAACCAAGGTTCCCTTACAATGTCATAGCAGCACGGAAGAGCAGAAAGTGGGCCAGAGGCATATGAGAAGGGCTAAGCGTGTGGATGGCCTCCTTACAGAAACACATTCTTATGAGAACAGACTGGGAATCCTAGAGAACTTTATTAATATTTCCTAAAGACAATTTCCAATGATCTAAACACCTTCCATTAAGCCCCACCTCTTCAAAAAATGTATTAGCTCTTTGAGGACTTCATACAATGTAGTTTATTCATCTTCTCAGATCAACTTTCTTCCTTTCCACCCAACTTTGTGTAGTCACCCCTCACCATCATCAAGGCCTGTTGACTGAGGTTTCTGTCCCACCCGGTCCTGCAGTCATTTGTCACAAAGAAATACACAAAGGTACTACATTAATTATAAACTGGTTGGCCTATTAGCTCAGGCTTCTTATTAACTCTTATTATTTATATTAGCTCACAGTTCTTGTCTGTGTTAGCCACGTGGCTTGGTACCTTTATCAGTGAGGCATTCTCATCTTGCTTCCTCTGTGGCTGGGTCATGACTTCAGACTGCATCTTTCCTTTGCCCAGAATTCTCCTGTTTTCATTGCTCTGCCTCTTCTTCCTGCCGGGTCACCCCACCTATACTTCCTGCCTGGCTACTGGCCAATCAGCATTTTATTAAACAAGTACAAGAAACAAATCTTTACAGGGTAAAACCATTGTCCCACAGCAAAGGCCACTTTGTGCTACCCAAGTATTCTTGGATGTGTGGCCTTCCATTGGAGGACAGACAACAGAGACTACACTTTTAGAGAAAACTGAGCCTTCCACTCCCAGTAGGTCCTCAGCTCTGGGGTGGAATTTTATACTAAGTTCCATTTCTTTAAAAAATATTTACCTATTTTGTTTTTGAGTGAGGACTTGTTGTATCCCAAGCTGGCCTTGAACTTGCTGCATGGTCAAGGATGACCTTGCGTTTCTGATTCTCCATTTTGTACCTTTAGGGTGCTAAGATTACCACACACCAGCACACCCAGTTTATGTGGTGTGGGGACTGAACCCAGGGCTTCCTGCACACCAGGCAGGCACTGTACCAAGAGCATCACATCCCCAGCCTGATGGAGTAATAGCCCCTCCCCCTTCTCCTTTTAAAGATGCTACCCCGCCCATCATCACACTGAAGGCTGAGCTACCAGCACATGGACCCTGGGACACACAGCCTACAACCAAACCCAGACAGGAAGAGTCTCCAGACTGTATCAGTCAATGAGTGCATGAGTACATGGATGGAAGAGAGGATTTTGGAATGAGAGGGCCAGGGAGGGTTTCTTGGCAGAACAAGTGCACTGTCAATCATGGGATACTCTAGATGACTTTGGGGCCCCAGAACAACTTCATCGACCCCATAGGGAGTTTGTTAGAGATACTGTGGTTCTACATCAGACCCGCATGGAGCGCAGCAGTATGAGCGTCATCAATGCTCTTTCCAGGGCATTCAGATGCATGGTTTGTATACCACTGCTGCAGATGGTCTTCATTTAATAGGTGGGGAAATTGAGTCTAGGGTTAGGGAGATGTCATGTAGGAACACACGCACCTGTCTGGTACCCAGCAGTCCCCTAGCTCAGGGCTCAGCTCTTGCCGCCCAGCCAGGCTGCGTCACTTTGTCTTGTTACCATTATTTTTATTACCATTTTCCAAATCAGAAAGAACCTTGTATTCATCAGCCACTCTGAAAGCATTGGGATTGAATCTCCGCTCTTACAAAGGTTCTGATTTCCCTGGGGGCTTGCCAGGACTAACAAAACACAACTTCTCGTCTTTTCTATAGGGCTCCGAGCTGCAGGAGTGAGCTGGGCTGCTGCATTGCATTTCCCCAGAGGTGGCTCTGGCAGCTGTGTAATGTGATCGCTCCTGCCTGGCTCTCACCTTGGTTCCCCAGTGTCCAGCACATGTGATCCAGTTTCCTCTGTGCGTGGGAGAGGGCATGTGAGTCATGCCACTGATGCCAGGAGGGCCCAGGAGCTTGGACACTACCTTCAAGCCCAGCACAGCTGCTTTTCTTGTTCAGATTTGCATTTGTCCAGCACCTTATAAGTGTGTTTTGTAATTCCTGGCCAGACTTCTTTATATGCACTTTTTTTTGTCAAAATCATTAATAGTATAAAAAAAACCTGCTTAACTTTTCACCTTACCTGGTACCTTTTCTGATTGCTAGAGATGCTCTTCCAGTTGAGTTTGAAGAAAGCAGCTTCCTAGATTACGTGTGTGTGTGTGTGTGTGTCTATACCTGTGCATAGGAGTTTGTACATATGTGGAAGCATGTTGTGACCAGAGGATGCCTTTAGTGTCACATCTCAGGTACCATCCCCTTTCTTGAGATAGGGCTTCTCACTAGCCCACTACTCCACCAAATAGGCAAGGCCGTCTGGTCAGCAAGCCCCAGGGACCTTGCTATCTAAATTCCCCCATCACTGCATCTATAGGATTACAGGTACAGGTGACCATGCCCAGTTTTTATGTGGGTACTGGGCATCTGAAGTCAGGTCCTCATGCTTGCCAGGAAAATGCTTCAAAGTGGCATCATCTACCCAGCCCTTGTTGTTTGTTGATAGCACCTGTTTTAGGGCTGGAGCGATGGCTCAGGGCTAGCAGTATTTGGCATTCTTGCAGAGGATGAGGATTTAGTTCCCAGGACACCATGGCTATCTGTATCTCCAGTTCCAAGGGATCTGGTGCCCTCTTCTGGTTTCTGAAGGCACTGCAACCATATGGTGCCTATTCACACACCCAGGAACACACACACACACACACACACACACACACACACAAACTTATTAAATAAACCTTTAATAAAAATAGCACCAGTCTTAGCAGGGGTGACTTCTTGTTTGTGGTGATTTGAAAGAAAATGGACCCCAAAAGAAGCACTATTAGGAGGTGTGACTTTGTTGGAGCAGGTATGATCTTTTTGGAAAATGTGTCACTATGGAGGCCGGCTTTGAGGTCTCATATATGCTCAAGATACTGCCGAGTGTCTCAGAACATTTCCTGTTGTCCGCAAGCCAAGACATAGGACATTCAGCTCCTTCTCCAGCATTGTGTCTGACTGCACACTACCATGTCACACCATGATGATAATGGACTAAACTTCTGAAAACGTAAGGCACCCCAATTAAATGTTTTTTCCCTTATAGAAATTGCTATGGTCATGGTGTCTCTCCACGGCAATAGAAAACCTAACTAAGATAGTCTGTTGGTCTCAGCTTGCTTCTCCTTAATGTTTAGTGGTTTTGGGCATCTTTCCTGTAATCTGTGGCTGTTTTTATATATCCTTGGAGAAATGTCTGTTCAACTTTGACCAGTTTCATCCTGCAGGTGTCTTTGTATGCTGTAGGTGTTGATGACTCTGTAGAAAGGTGTCTTAGCTAGAGTTTTATTGCTGTGAAGAGACACCATGACCGTGGCAACTCTTATAAAGGAAAGCATTTAACTGGGGCTGGCTTACAGTTTAGAGTTTCAGCTCATTATCATCATGGCAGCATGGCGGTATGCAGGCAGACCTGGTGCTGGAGAGATAGCTGAGATGTCTACATCTGGACTGACAGACAGCAGGACTGGCAGACAGCAGAGAGAGAGAGTGACAATGTGCCTGGCTTGGGCTTCTGAAACCCCAAAGCCCACCCCCAGTGACAGACTTCCTCCAGTAAGGCCACACCCACTCCAACAAGGCCACAACTCCCAATAGTGACAATCTCTAGGAGCCTATGGGGTACATTTTCATTTAAACCACCACATTTCAGATATCCCCTCCCGTTTTCAGTGCCCTCTTTCTTTGTCGCCAGTGTTCTGTGGTTCATACACCTTTCCATTTTGATACAGTTCATTCCCTGATCCAATCTCATGAAACTTTCTCTCCTATTTTTTACCCTAATAGTTTTGCTTCTTTTAGCCTTGTTATATAAGTCTTTGAATAATTTTTTAGTTAGTATTTACATATAGGATAATGGGAGGTCTGGTTTCATACTTTTCCCTGTGGGCGTTGAGTCTCTCCCTGTGTAGTCTCGGCATCTTTCACCCACAGGCTCTAGAGTTGACATGCTTTGCTGGGGATGACACTGTGGATGCTAACACAGGTGTGTTTCTCCTGCCTAGGTAGCATCACACTGTTCGCCTTCATCACCATCATCCTGGGATGCTTGAAAGTCGCTTACTTCATTGGATTTTCCGAGTGCTTGTCAGCCACGGAGGGAGTGTTCCCCGTCACCCACGCTGTGCATACACTGCTGCAGGTGAGCCACTGGTGCTTCTGCATGCTGTCTGCTCCAGTGCAGTGCGTCCCGAGGTGTGCAGAAACCAACCCATCAACACATCTAGAATGTTTCTGTGGCTCCCATCAGGAATCATGAGCTGGTCCAGTCACTTCTCTGGAACACTGGGACTCTTTTGTTTCCCCTCTTGTGGGCTGGAACCTTTTAGAACAGTATGAGGTCCTTGTTTTCAGCACGGATGATGAACTTGGTTTCTTTAAGAAGTAAGGCTTTGATAGATGCCCTTTAAAAACCTAGCTCACAGCAGGAATCATACCCTCTGACTGCAGAGACTCTTAGATAGACCCCAGGGAAGTGTCTGCGCTGAGCAGGACTCTTTGGTGGCTGTGAGTTACTCTGCTAAGGAAAGTCATGGCCAGCATCTTTCTAGCACTTGAGGATACACAAAGTGTTAAGTTCTTGCTCCCCAGCCGGTGGCACTAGTTTTGGAGGCCTCAGAATCTTTAGAAGGCAGGTCTTGGTTGGTAGAAATAGGCCACCTGGCTGAGATTTTAATGGCTACAAGCACAGCCACTGGGTCTGGCCGTGTTCCTGTCCTTTTCTCTGTTTCCTGGTCTGACATGATGTGACAATCCTCTGTCACACACTCCGTCCACCGAGAGCACTGTGTGGAACTTAAAGCTTTATGGAACGGCGAGCCCATACAAGCCTTCCTCCTTTAAGCTGTTTCTGTCAGGAATTTTGGTCCAGTTGATGCAAAGTACAAATACAGTGTTCATTGACAGAAGGATGGATGAAGACGCTATGTGTCCACAATGGAATACTATTCGGCCATAGCAATCATGCAATTCCACCACAGGCAGCAACACAATGGAACCGGAGGATGTTATATTACGTGAAATCAGTCCAATATGAAGTCAGATCTCATGTACTTCAGATTGACCAGGAAGCTGTTGAACTCTCTGCTTCTAACCCGGAAGCTCTGGGGTTATAGGCCCGTGTGTCAGTGCTTTTGTTTATGTAGTGCTGGAGATTGAGCACAAAGCCTCTTGGATGCTAGGCTGGCACTCTGCCAACTGAGTTTCATCCCAGCTAACCAGGCATAGAAAGACAAACACTGTGCTCTCACATGGATGGCAAAAGTTTGATCGTGTGGAAGTGCAGGAAGTAATAGTGACTACCGGAGCCTGGGAAAGCTGGCGGGAGGAGAGCAGCTGGCTCCAGAGGGCAGCCGGATAGGAGCCAGGACTCCTACTGGTCTCAGCCCAGGGAAGGGAGGGGCAGCGATGGGTGGCAGAAATGAACTGGAGAGTTCCAAATAAGTAGTAGAGCCTGAATGATCTCAGTGTAGAGATGAGCGAAGTGGCTCAACAGCTAAAGGCACTCGTGTGTAAGCCTGGAGACCTGACCCCAAGTCCTGGAGCCAGGGAAAGGTGGGTGGAGAGAACCAATCCCACAAAATTTTTTCTTGATTTCCAGAAATGCATGGGCACGTGTGTGCACACACACACAGACAGAGACATAAACACAGAGAGAATGATTCTATTGCTCATTGCACACTGCACATGTGGGAAGTGCACTGCACAGCATAGCTGTGTACAGTTAGCGTGCTGATCAATAACAAACATATTTTAACATAAGAAAGATGCTAGATCATCAATCTTTTTTTCTCTTCCTTATTTTATATATTTACCCTGAATAGCATGATGTTTTCACATAAGCACAAATGGTAGATGATTATAGTCAGGAAAGTGCTCTATCTGGTGCCCCAGTTTCCCTTCTTGGTCTTATTAGTGGTGAGACCACCTTTTAGCCAGTGCCAGCAAGCCTACATAGATAGCACAATATCCCAGCTGTAGTCTTTATCTTGGCCATCAGCTCTCTAGACAGCCATCCTGCATATTTGCCAGTTTGGGCCTTTGCCTGCATCGTCCCACTCCTGTCCCCACTCAGTCTCTGTTCTATTGTGTATTCAAATCTTCATCGTTGAGATTCCATACATGGTGGGCTCGTGCACGACTGTCTCCCTGCTCCTGGAAAATTTCACTTAGCACAGTGTCCTCCAGCTTTGTCCATGTTACCATATGATAGAATTAAGCCTTGCAGTTTTTGAGGAAGTAACTGAAGCTCAAGAAGACCACAGATTTGCTTACATCATGACGAGAAGCAAAGGTAATTCCTCCTTCTGAGTCACCCTGGAAGACTACGAACTTGGTTCAGGAAATCTACTTTTCAGATACTGTTCAAGTTAAAAACACCCTCCAGAAACAGTGTCGAACCCCAGGATAGGGAACTCATCTTCTACTCAAAGGCACTTCTAGTTCACAGCTTCTTAGGCTTGGCAGACAGCTCAGATGACTAGGAATGCTTCTAACACATTATTCCAGGCAAGGCTGACTGTGAAAAGGAGAAGGGGAACTTGGGTAGCTTGCTTCAGTGGTGGACTGGTAGGAAAGGCTGGGAGCTCACAAGGGGGAAGGGGAAGGGCGCTGCCTCGCAGGTAAAACCTGTTAAGTCCATTGTATGAATTCTAATTCTCAGTGTCTCAGAATGTACCAGTAGTGGAGGACTGGGCCTTTCAGAGGGAAATGAAGTCAATGCAGGGCTATATCCTGTGTCCTTATAAGGCAAGCTAGATCACAGTTACACACAGAAGGACAATGATGTGATGTCTCAGGTTGAAAGAATATCATCTACAGGTAGGGAGAGAGGCCCCAGGAGAAACCAACTCTGCTGACACCTTGAAGTCTCCAGGACTGTAGACTTGCTTAGTTTAAGACAACTTAATTCTGGGACATGGTGATGGTAGCTTGATCAGTTATATTCCCCCCATCCACAATAGACACCCTCAATCAAAGCAGTCCCCAAGAACAATGGACAGCCTCAATCAAATGTGGTCGCATCCAGAGGAGATACTCTCAGTCCAATGGACCCCCATCTATAGGAGACTTCCTCAGTCCAGTGCACCCCATCTAGAGTAGATGTCCTCAGTGCAGTGCACCCCATCTATAGGAGACGACCTCAGTCCAGTGCACCCCATCTATAGTAGACGACCTCAGTCCAGTGCACCCCATCTATAGTAGACGACCTCAGTCCAGTGCACCCCATCTATAGTAAACACCCTCAGTGCAGTGCACCCCATCTATTGTAGACGACCTCAGTCCAGTGCACCCCATCTATAGTAGAAGTCCTCAGTCCAGTATACCCCATCTAAGCAGACGTTCTCAGTAGAGTGCACCCCCACCTATAGTAGACGACCTCAGTCCAGTGCACCCCCATCTATAGTAGACGACCTCAGTCCAGTGCACCCCCATCTATAGTAGACGACCTCAGTCCAGTGCACCCCATCTATAGTAGACACCCTCAGTGCAGTGCACCCCATCTATAGTAGACGACCTCAGTCCAGTGCACCCCATCTATTGTAGATGTCCTCAGTCCAGTGCACCCCATCTATTGTAGATGTCCTCAGTCCAGTGACCCCATCTATAGGAGATGACCTCAGTGCAGTGCACCCCATCTATAGCAGACATTCTCAATCAAATGTAGTTTCTCACCTACAGCAGACATTCCCAGTCGAATTTAATCCTTCATCTACCTCTGATATTGTTGCTGGAAATTTTGGGGAGTTCCACTGGGATGCTACATATTTCTGGCTAAATTAGGGTCCCTTCTCAGGGTTCTTAGTCTCATTAATAAAATAAATTAAGGAAGTACTCAGCAGGAAGCTTGTGGGCAGTTTTATTAGCATTTACAAGGGAAGCAACAGCTCCAGCAAGCTGCAAGTCTGGACTGCTGCCGGGAGAAGGGCGATGGAGAGCAAGAGAGAAGACCATGCCTTTTGAGTTAGATATGGAGGGTAGCAAGCAGCCACATGGCAGACAAGTGCTCATAACGAAGCAGTCTTCAGAGAAAGAGTGACAATTCCCCAAAATAGGAAAACAAGTCTTAAAAAAAGAAATGTTAATTTAGATAAAATGGGTAAACTTGACCTAGCCCGAGTGATACCATTCTAGTGACTGCACAGTGTGTGGGGATTCTGGGAGGGACAAGTACATTGTCTTCTCCCATGTGTTTAGCATGGTGTAAAGTGAATCTACCTTCCTGAGGGGTGACCCTTTGGCCAGGTGATTGACAGATACAGCTGGGTTCATGCCTAGGTTTTGGGTAGATTGGAATGTTAGTTCACCACCTAGGCTAGAGGTTTTGTTCCCTTAACTAGGAGAAAATACCTTTTCTTAAAGAGTCTCAATAGAGCCCTGGCCTTTCAATGCTACTGAAATAATCTTCTCAGTCAGTGCTATCCTCCATCTGCTTTAGATAGCCTCGGTCAAACGCAGTCCTTCATCCACTGCAGAATCCTGTGACCTGATCCTGTAATGCTTGGTGTTCTGATCAGGTGACAGAGCATGGAAGAGAGTATTTGATCAGTGTGGGGTGAGATATCATGTCTGCCAGGGCAAGACATCTGGTCATATGGGGAGCATGTGTGCGTGTGTGTGCATGTGCGCATGTGTGTGTGTCTATATGCATGTACACATTCTTTTTGTTGTTGTTGTTGTTGTTGTTTCTCAAGACAGAGTTTCTCTGTAGCTTTGAAGCTTGTCCTGGAATTATCTCTTGTAGATCAGGCTGGCCTTGAACTCACAGAGATCTGCCTGCCTCTGCCTTCTGAGTGCTGAGATTAAAGGTGTGCGCCACCACCACTGGCCATGTACACATTCTTTAGGAGCCATCTGTCCTAGTCAGCGTCTCTGCTGCTGTGAAAAAATACTGACCAAAAACAACTTGGGGGCAGGGCTTATTCAACTTACAGGTTATAGTCCATCTTTGAAGAAGGGCAGGGCAGGAACTCAAGAAAAGAACATGGAGGCAGAGACCATGGAGGGACAGTTCTTACTGTCTTGTCCTCTCTAGCTTGTTTACTTAAAAGCTTATTTTTATTCTATGTGCATGAGTATTTTGTCTTCATGACTATCTGTACCCTTGGAGGCGACATGCCTGTCCCAGAGCAGACATCCTCAATCGATTGCAGCACAGCTCCATCCACAGCAGATATCACCAAGTGGTTCTAACCCTACCTTCTCTAAGGAGACACCCTTAGTCAAATACAGACCTTCTTAATTAGTTGCAGCACCCCTTCTGCCTGACTCGGGAGGCCCCATCTGGCTTCTCACGGCGTCACTATTCCCACTGTAGAATGACCCTGCCAAGGGGAATCATCTGTTTTGTCTCAGTTTTATAACTTCTCAAGTGTGCAAGCAGAATGGCAGTGTCCCCGCTAATGTGTTCTCCTTTATTTCTGTCTAGGTCTATTTTCTCTGGGGCCACGCTAAGGATATTATCCTGTCTTTCAAAACACTGGAAAGGTAAAAACTGTGAGCAATTGCTTTACTCATTGGTTGATATTTCTTTAGATTAAACGCTAGGGGAAACCAGACTCGGGACTGGCACCCATCTGGGGCTCTAAACCCTGAGAGCAGATTCCTGTTCCACCCTGGAAGCAAAGCTCTTGCAGGACGTCGGTTCCTTCCAGGCCAGTCCTGGAAGACAAGGATGTGGGTGCGAACTCTGCTGTCACCACCTACTCCCCTCTCACCTCCCTCAGTTTACTCGTCTGTGAGGTGGGGAGCAGTGAGGTGGCCTACGTCTGAGGAGAACCTGTGTCTACTGAGTGTGGAGCCTGCCTCCAGCTCTTCCTGCTTATCATGTGGTCAAGGGAAGAATGGCCAGAAGGAAGAGGTGAACTCTTCAAGGGCAGGTTAAATACGGGTAGATGGAGGAATGAGCCCCTGCTCTATGGAAAGATCTAGTATTGTACACCACTTCCGTCGCAGAATCAACTTTCCCCTCCAGCATTTGAGATGACCTCTGGCCTTGAGAAGATTGGCTGACCTGTGACCCCTAGGTAGAATGGCTTCAATGGGCTGCAGCTGTCGAGACTGAGTCTACTGCCAAGTGCATCCTTGTGCCTCTAGTTGCACAGGGATAGTGGCCCGGTGCTGTGGCGTGGGTGTTGATGATTCTGAGGTGTCTTTGGCTGTGTGAGGAGCACCCAGGAGTGTGTGTCCACCACGTGGTCCAGGCAGTGGCCTTGGCAGTGACATCTATCATTGGTGTCAGGAACAGCAGAAGCCCCACCTCCAGGGCAAGGTGGGGAAGGGCTGAAGTATGCTTACCTGGTTTCCCCGAGGGAAGGGGTAGTCACCCAGATCCAGGAGCCCCAGAAGCCACCACTGGCAACTCTTAGGACTGGGGAGGTGGCACAGTTGGTACAGGGCTTGTCTAGCATGCATGGTCACGGGCTCAATTCCTAGCACCAAATAAAAGAGCATGGTGGCTCTTGTCTATATCTCCAGACTCAGAAACTGGAGCCAGCAGAGCCAGGAGGTCAAAGGCCATTTTTGGCTCTGTAGGGATACTGAGATTGAGACCAGCCTAGGCAAAGGCTTCCATGGCCACTATCACATCTGGTCTCTACCCACTTCAGTGCAAGGGTATGCTTTCTTGTCTGTTGATGTGTTGAGCAAGATGGCAAACATTTTGAATGTCTACCATTCTTAGATTTCAGAAGTCAACTTCTTTAGAAAAAGTGGAAGATGAGGTAGTCTCAAGCATAGGTCATGACAGAGGCTACAACTGAATCTAGGGTGCTCCTCCAGGGAGGGCTGGCCTCACTGAGGACAGTCCACACAGCTTCCAGTTACTATGCTGGCAGCTCTGGCTGGGTCCTGTGGGCTTATGACCTTGCTAGCTTCTTGCATGAGCTGTATGAATGCCTCCTTCCTGCCACCACCTCTGTCAGTGGCTTCTGGAAGGTTTCTCCCAGGTAGGAAATGCTCCTTTGGAGATTCCACCCATCTCCTTTCTCCAGACCCACAGTTGGGAGGTACCATGGTTCTTCACACATCTTAGGAAGCACAGACGGATACCAGGAACAACTCCCGGGATGCATTCTGTTACTGTGGTCTGGGTATACAGGCACTGAGTGTGGGCAGGGCCTTAGACATGGGGCATGACACTTGCCCTCAGCTTGAAGGACTTGTTTCAAATTGGTCTTGGAAGGCTATGGTTCTCAGGGTGGTGTGTGGCCAAACAGTGTGATCCTTGGTGACCTTATACTGCTTCTGTGGGTTTGGCAGGCTCAGAATTGGACACTACTGCATGGACTAGGGAAAGGGGAAACAGAAGGGCAGCTGTGTGCACTGTAATAAAAAGAAAGCCACCTGCCAGAGGTAAAGGCATTGTCCGGGCTGTCAAAGGTTGGATAGAAAACGCGGGCTGTGAGTTGGAGCAAAAGGGCGGGTGCAGGGCCAGGCCAATGGACAGACACCTGTGTTGTCTGGGTTTCTCTCTGCATTAGTTCTGGTAGCTGGGCAGATGCCAAGCTGGCCATATCATACAGGAAGGTGCTACTTGCCCTGATTCTTGGGATGCCTGGGCTCAGCTGAGGCAGACACTCAGGGGAGAGGCAGGGAGGGCCAGGACAAAGATGTTCCTGTTTTCCTATAAGTCAATCATGGACAGATGGTCTTTGAGCTGGACAAGGGAGCACACATGGCTGGCTGCCTCTTGGTAAGGCATGGGAGTACCCACAGCTGCCTTTAGGCTTGGCTCCTCAGTCTATTGTGGGATGCGTCTCCTAGATACCTGTAGAGGCCCAGAAGCTACCCTAAGTGGATACAGCTGCAGTCTGCAGCCACAGTAGGGTTTAGGGAATTCACAACAGGACGAACCACATGGAGACCGTGTGTCATTCCTGTCTCTCTTCTGTCCCCCAGAGTCCAGAGTTCACCCTCACATGTACCCTCTTCCTGATGAGGTCACAGTGTGGTTTAGAGGCTAAGATTCTCTTTCCACTATTCCAGCATGGCCACTTACTCTAGGTGTGACAGTGGAAGAATTCCTGAGCCTAGCTGGGACTTTAGAAGCCCAAAGTGTTATCTGGAGTAGGGCTCATCTGTGTACACCCTCTGGCATCCTCAGTGTATTGGGGCTTCAGCCCATGCTGGTTGACACCTGCTTACAAGAGAGATGATGGCCGCAACCTCAGCCTATGTGCCCTCACTCAAGACTATTAAAGGAGACAATGTTGAAAGGAAAGGGGGTCCATAAATAGGCTTTTCTGATTCTTATGTCATCAAATAAGCAAAAGCTTTTCAGTAATTCACTGTAGATTATATATTATATGCCCCAGCCAGACTGGTCAAGACCAGCTGCAAAGGAAACCATGAGCTAGTGTGTGCAGACTGTGTTTTATTGGCAAGATGGAAAGCAGAGGGACTGGACGGCGATGATTTATGGGTTGGTCAGTCACCAGTGAGGGTGCACCTGCTCTCCACAGTCCACCTGGCCCTTCTATCTCCTTCATTGTTCTTTCTTTGTTTCCCCTTTGGAAGAAGAGTGGGCTCTGGGTGTGGTTGCTTGCCTTTAGTAAAATTTCTTCCCCATATCCCTGCTCCCAAGATGCAGTGTCTTTGATGTCCCACAGATGAGTTGAAGACGGGCAAATTCAAGGTGAAGGCAGAATGCCCAGATGTTGACTCTCAGCCAGCTGGACCAACAGCTGAGGGAGGGAAATTGTGTGTGTGCATACATGCATGGGATGGCGCCGTCTTAGCCACGGGCTCGGCACTTTTTCAAGGCCACTCAGGAGAAGGTGTCTGATACGTGTGCTTTCCAGGTTCGGGGTGATCCACTCGGTGTTCACGAACTTGCTGTTGTGGGCCAACAGCGTCCTGAATGAGTCAAAGCACCAACTGAACGAGCACAAAGAGCGGCTTATCACGCTGGGCTTCGGCAACATCACCATAGGTGAGGAAGCCTTTCCCCTGCTGGACCATCAGGTCCCTAGGGAGCCACCTGGGCTGATAGACCCTACTGTGGACTGTTTCTCTAACCCCACAGGCCTTCATTCTGCCTCCCCAAGGCAGTAATTATAAGTTTCACCTGACTTGGGCATGTGGCAGCCCAGGGTTATCATTTGGGTGGGTCTCTCGCAGTCCATTGGCTGGAGAACTCTGTGGCTTTTTTTTTTTTTTCCCACTGTGGAAGATTGGTGGTTTTCTCTGTTAGCGTTTTAATTAGGAGCCTTTCAGCAAATCTTTCTTCTGAGAGATTGGCCTGTGCACACTGGGGAGTTCTCAGTATGCCTTTGTACATGGGAAGGTTCCTAGCTGACTTCAGTCGGTTCATTATTTGGGGCTCATCTTTATTATTCACTTGATCTGCTGGGGAGACAGCCTGGGGTGGGGGTTAATCCTCACATCTTCTGCTGGAGTTCTTGAGCATATATGGCCTCACCACATCAGTCTGAGAATATCTGGACCCAGAAGAAGGCAGGGTGGAGCACAGCGCTCTACTGGGAAGTGGAGAACTTGAGTTGGGGTCTTGTTTTTGTCAGATGCTTGCTGTGTGACCCTTGGAGACTATTCAACCTCTCTGGGCCTGCCTTTTCTCTTTGTAAAGTAAGGAGACTCAAAAACTCGATGCTTTCAAAGATCCTTCCGGCTGCAGCCTTCTGTGAGCGGGCTGGGCCGATATGTGGCTATGTCAGGCTACATGAGTGACTCCTACAATCCTCTGTGGGAAGGACTCCCTGTCTTTGGCCTCACTCCCTCTTAGTAACAAAAGCAGCCACAGCAGTGACAGTTTCGTAATAGAAGCAAACTTTTATTAGCTATTTCCTGGCTTTTATTAGGCTCATGTTGACTACCAGGCAGGGTTCTCAGTATTTTACAAGGTTCCTTAACAATGGCCTGACCTTCCTCTGAGATGGGCAGTATTAACTAGCAATGGGTAGAGACGCTGCGCCACTGAAAAGTGATGTGTCTGGGGTTGCACAGTCAGAAAGAGAAGGAAAGCCCCTGACCATCTCATACCGTTTTAGGGGCGTTTAGGTGAGAGCTTTTTCCACCGGGTATTTTTCAGAAGGGTCATTTCCTACAGAGCCTTGAAAAACATAGTCTAAACACACACACACACACACACACACACACACCACACACGCCATATTTACAGAGAAAGTTAGATACCAGAGGGAAGCAAGATCTAGAAAAAAAAATAAACACCTGCCTCTTGCCACCAGAGAGAACCGCCACTACCGTTCTGGCTTATATACTTCTGGATCTTTCCTGTTTATCAATCAACCTATCAATCACTGTTGCCCCTCTCTCTTACACAGGTGCTGCCACAGTCTCAGCCCTCCTCAGCTGTCTGCTTTTGAAGTTCAGTGGTAGCTCTGGACCACCTAACGTGGTCATTAGTAAATCTCTACACTGCTACTCATAATAGTGTCCCTATATGCTAACATACAGATAGAACACGGCTGACGCCATTCTGGGGGTGAACCCTAGCTTCTTTTTTCTACGAAGCCACGGCATTAAACATGATGCTAAATGCGGCTCATGTGCACTTTGGGTCTAGTGGTGAGCTTCAGGCTGATGGGTTTGCTAGTCTCCTTGTTGCCTGTGCTGATGGCTGTTTCCTGTCCTCTGCCTACCGCCCTAGTTTTGGATGACCATACACCACAGTGTAACTGCACGCCCCCAGCGCTCTGCTCTGCTCTCTCCCATGGAATCTACTACCTGTACCCCTTCAACATCGAGTACCAGATCCTGGCCTCCACCATGCTCTATGTGCTCTGGAAGAACATTGGGCGCAGGGTGGACAACTCCCGGCATCAGAAGATGCAGTGCAGATTCGACGGGGTCCTGATGGGCTCGGTTCTGGGCCTGACAGTGCTGGCTGCCACCATCACCGTGGTTGTGGTGTACATGATCCATATCGGACGCTCCAAGTCCAAGAGCGAGTCGGCGCTCATCTTGTTCTACTTGTATGCTATCACGGTGCTGCTGCTCATGGGGGCTGCTGGGCTGGTAGGAACCTGGATTTACAGGGTGGATGAGAAATCCCTGGATGAGTCCAAAAACCCTGCACGTAAGCTGGATGCTGACCTCTTGGTGGCCACAGCCTCAGGCTCATGGCTCCTCTCCTGGGGCTCCATTTTGGCCATCGCTTGTGCTGAGACCCGTCCGCCATACACCTGGTACAATCTGCCCTACTCTGTCCTGGTGATCGTGGAGAAGTATGTCCAGAACCTTTTCATCATCGAGTCAGTGCACCGCGAGCCCGAGGGCATCCCGGAGGATGTGCGCACTCTGCGCGTGGTCACCGTCTGCAGTGGTGAAGCCGCTGTGCTAGCTGCATCTAGCCTTGGGAGCCAGGGGTTGTCTCGGGATGAATCACCTGCGGTCAATGGAAATCTGCGTCTGCAGCAGGGATATCGTAAAGAGGACCAGGAGGCTGGCTGGGAAGGGGCTGCGGGCACAGCCCGATGTCCGGACTTCCTGCAGGGTGGAGTCAAGAGGAGGATCCTCAGAAACATCACAGCCTTTCTGTTCCTTTGCAACATCTCGGTAATCTTCAGCAAACTGTTCTCCCTCTCCTTCTCTCCCTCCCTCCCTCTCTCTGGTGTGCACAAGTGTGTGGAGACTAGAAACTGATGTTGAGATGTCTTCCTCAAACAATTATCTACCCTTGTTTTGTGAGCCAGAATCCCTCACGGAATCCTATGCTATTAGCTGGTTAGACTAGCTGGCCAATGAGTTCCAGGGAACCCCCTGTCTCCACCACGGGGCCTCAGTTCAGAGTTGCAGGCACCAATGCCTCCCAGACAGGCTTTCTATGTAGGCCTCATGCTTGTCCAGCAGGGACTTTCTCATTGACCATCTCCCTAGTCCTAGATATTCAAATCAACCAATATTCCCCAACTTTTCTCAACAAGGCACAGGAGCTGTGATAAAAATAAGAAACCTCCTCTTGCAAATGAGTGGAAACTGACTGTTGGGATAGGGTGGGGAAGTTACTGCACAGCCCCAGCGGAGGGATGGCCCGGGTGGGTGGAGGTGGAGGTTCACAGAAGGACTGGGGGCATCTCACTGTGGCTAGGGTGGTAGACTGATGTGAAAGAGACTGAGGGGGAACACGGATGACACTGGGAGCTTGGAGCAAGCATCTGGGAGGAAGGGGCTGTTGATAAGGGGGAGATGGGAAAAGCAGGGTGCGTCTGCGATGTGCTCCAAACACTCAAGTGGCTAGTGGAAATACATGTTGGGGTTCCAAGAGTGGCTCACATGGGGGGTTTAGGTGGAAGCCCAGGGCCTCCAGATGGTGTTTATGACCAAGGTTGAGGTGACAGCCCTAGGAGGCATATACACAAAGAAGGGAAGGGGACTCGTGAGTCTGAGCAAATGAGGAGCTAGAAGAGGGAACTGTTGACGGGCAGAGGTCTGAGATGGAAGGAAGAAGCCCAAGAAGCCAGAGAAGGAAAATGGGATACGATACCCACCAGCGAGAGCTCTGCAAGGATAGGAAAGAAAGGCAGTGTGTATTAGTCACTTGCTGCCACCTAAGAACTAACCTCAAACATAGCAACTTAAAACCGTAGGTATTTATCATGAAAGTTCTTCAGGTGTTAAACCCACAATAATGGAGTGTCAGCTTGTGATCCTAGCTTGGCTGTAGGCTGTTGGCAGCAAGACTTCTCTTTGGGGATTTGGACCCAGTCCCTTTGTGGGTTGTTGGGCGGAAGACCAATGTTCTTTGCAATTGCTGGCCTGGAATCACCCTCTGTCCTTTGCTATGTAGACTCTTCATAGGTCAGCCCAGCTAGGGGGAGCCTGCCCTAGCCTGGGAGGCAGAGAGATAGACACATGCAATAAGTAACAGAAGGGGCCCAGGGCCATGGGTGGCGCTGACAACCTAGAGAGTGGTCAGTGGGAAGGAAGAGGGGAAGAGACAGAGAAGGATGTGGGGACAGTAGGTTCTATGAGAGACAAGAGCAACAGTTTATTATGTTAAGTTTTGTTGACTTCCTTTGATTTTTTCCCCTCCTCTCATCAGCGCCCTCTAGAGAGAGTTAAGTTACAACTCGTGTCTGAGTGCAAGGTGAAGGGGTGGAGGGCCTTCAGGGGAGGCTCACAGATTTGTTGGTTTCCATGGAGATGAGGAAGGCTTTACAGTCAATCTGGCCATGGTGACTCTTGCTATGTGAGTCTGCGTCAGCATCCATGGTGCCTGGGATTTGAGCGGGGACACCAGATGTGCTGAAATCCTGTGACCACAGAGTCAGCCTTTTGGCACGGTGGGCATTCAGCCAGGAAAGGGGTGATTTAGAAGGTTTCAGTCCATGGTTGCTTCCAGGCCTGTGACAGAAGATCATGGTGGAAGTGCAGAGGAGAGAGGCTTACTTCGCAGCAACAAAGCAAAGAGAGGGCAAGACTGGGGACAAGACACGTCTGTTAGAGGGACCCCCCCCCCAGTTATCTACCTATTTCTTTTGTTTCTTGCCTTGTAATGGTCCATTCAGCTATGACTCTATCCTGGGTTAGCCCACTGATGAAGTTAGGTTCCACGTGATCTAGCCTGCCAGGTAGGGACCAGGCTTGGGACAACGTATCTTGGGGGCATTGTCAGTGTATCTGTGGCAGAAGGTTGCATCTCTTGGCAGCATTCATGGCGAAACCAACCGTGATGTAAGCTTGTTTCTTCTATTTCAGCTTTGGATCCCTCCTGCCTTTGGCTGCCGCCCTGAGTATGACAACGGATTAGAGGAAATCGTCTTCGGCTTTGAACCCTGGATAATCGTGGTCAACCTGGCCATGCCCTTCTCTATTTTCTACCGGATGCACGCAGCTGCTGCCCTCTTTGAGGTCTATTGTAAGATCTAGCCTGCGTCCTCATGAAAGGAGAAGGGACACGGGAACAAGGGGGCTCTGCAGCCACCTGGGAAGGGCCGGGCTGAGCAAACACTGTCTGACAAAAGCCGGAAGGATGCCTTTTGTCTCCTTGACCGCGTCTAGAGGTGCCCTTGCCCTGGCTGAGAGTGAACGAGTGAACGTTAAATCAACTGCACGAGGTGGCTGGAGCCTGCCTGGGGTCAGCCATTTCTAATCAGATCCGAAATGATTTGTGCTCCTTGGCCGAGAACCTGTGTTTTAGAAGAAGATGATCCAAGTTTGGGGAAAAAAGTGATGGGGTTTTCAGAGCATACATTTCCTGTCTGTAATTTATGTGACTGCATACAACTTTTTTTTTCCTGGCCATCTGTGTAGCAATCAATTTAATATTTTTCCCTCAGGGCTACTAAATTTAGAAACAAATGCATTTTAGTTTATAGTTTAATTTTTGAGCTGGCTTAATTTTGGGAAAAATTACTTTTTCAAAATCTTTTAAGCTTTTTTTAAAATCACATGTATGTGTGTGGGGAGGTATGCACACACGTGTGTGGATACCCTCAGAGGTTGGAGGCATCACAAAATTGCTTTTAGTCAACTGCATGGGAACGCGTAACTAGATTAATGCAAACACATGGATGGCATTACCTAAAATTGTGGTTAATTTTTATGTGTGATCATTTCCAAGTACTAAAAGATAAACATTGCTGTTTTCTTTTTTTTTTTTTTTTTTTTTGCTACACTTACCTCCAGTTTATTATGTAGAAAATCTGCACACTTTGGAAAAGGAGATGTGCAAAATTACCCACGTTGCATTGCTAACAGTTACTCTGGACATTGTGGCATATCTTTTAGCTGTCGTGATGTGTAGACTCTTGTTTTTTTTTATTGTTGTACCACTAGTGATAACCTGACATTTCTAATTTATCCTCATCCTCTCCTACTTGATGATATGACGACGGTTTTCCCTACATGGTCATAAACTCCTGGCAAACGTCTCTTCGCTGTTGTCTGTTTACCAAATGAGTGCCCCACAATCAACGTCCTTTGCCTCCGTTCCTTTTAGTGCTCACAGTTTTGCCTTCCTAAGTGGCCCTGTAAAGAATCAACCATGCCTGTAAAACGTTTCTTTTATTTAAAGTTGTCAGCCAACTTTGTATAGAAAATGCTTCTGAGAAATGGGTCTTCGGGCCAGGGTGATGGCTTGCTGCTCTCAGAGAGGACCAGAGTTTGGCTCCAAGCATGGCATCAGTTGGCTTACAGCTGCCTAGAATTCTAGCTCCAGAGGAGATGACCTCCTTTTCCGTTCTCCAAGGGCACCTGCGCTCACGTGCAAGAGTGTACTCCCCCGCCAAATAAAAATAAAATAAAGCTGTAGAAAAGGAATCGCCTCTTACCGTTTTTTTTTCTTGTCCTTTGCCTCTAAACAGTATAATCTAGAAGCCATTGATGTGGCCTTTACCTTGGGTTAAGGTTTGTGTGTACATGTGTTTTGAGACAAGATCTTATATCTTAGCGAGGCTTTTCTCAAGCTTGCTATCTAGCCAAGGATGACCTTTGACTCCTGATCCTCTTGTTCCCACCTCCCAAGTGGCAGGTTTAGGTTACAGGCTTTTATAGGCATGCACTGCCATGTCTGGTTTTACGCAGTTCTGAGGAACTGAACTCTGGGCCTCATGGTCCAACTGAGTGAGCCATATCTCCAGACCCTTATTAGGTATTTTAAATGACCCAGAGACGATCTGAAGCTTACAAAAAGAGACACACACCACCCTGTTGCTAAGGGACTTGAGCATCCATAGGTTCTGGTAGCGACATGGGTCCCTGGGACCGGCCCCCTATGGATTGCAAGGGACATCCTTTTGTAACATCGGGAAGCCACTCTCAAAGCTTGTAAACATTTAAAAGTCTCCCAAGGAATACTGACTCTGGAATAAGTCTGTAGGTAATTTTGCAGAACAATTTTGAGACTGTAATAAAGTGAGCGTACTGACTGAAAAACTGGGGCGAATACAGTTGTGTCCACGTGGGCTGCTTGTTGACAGGCACACATTCTAAAAACAAAAGATGTTTAGAACACCTTCCTTGTAGAACACTTGTTCTCAGAGTGGGGTCTTGGCCCCCAGAGAACTTATGGTGATATCTGCAGACATGTTTAGCTGCTCTCAATATGGGAGCTGCTGTCACCTAGTGGTAGAAACCAGGGACACTTCCGAGCATCCTCCAGTACAGAAGAGAGCCCCGACCCTAAAGAACCGTCTGGTCTCAATCGGGAGTGGTACACAGAGGTTGAGAAGTCATGATGCAGGCACAATGGCTGGTACCTTGGAGTTCCTAGGCTAGTAACCCTCCCCCCACACTCATGCATGCACCCCAAACAAGGTCATTCTTATATGCACTGAACTTGGTTTTAACTTGCCATTTCTCTTAACTCTTCATGCCTCTCATCCCTGCCCCAATCCCCATGGCCCTGGTTCTCACCCTTTAGCCTATATAGGCATCCCCTTGGGACTTCACAGTGACCCCTGTCTTCCTGGCTGGAAGTCCAGATGCAGTGAGTCTGGGGTGGCTGAGGTCTGCCCTTTCATCAGAATCTTGTCAAACCCTCCCCTGAAGAAGCATCTTTTTCAGACCCTGTCAACTAATTCATTACTGTTAAGGCTCCTCCATGACTCTCCTTTCATGGTACTGGAATGTAATTTCGGGGGACTTTGGAGACCATTCCAGGAGATTTATATCTACAGACTTAATCTGGTGTCACTGTTTCTCAGGAGACTTTAAAATGATTGTGAGCTTCGATGTAGACCACTCTATTAGGTCTCTGTGACTCAGGACATTCTGCTACATTCAGAATTTTTTTTTTGTTGCTATCCCACACTGCACATGGGGAGCACTTTTATTCCTGAGCCTTTGGATTTTTCCAGAGTCCCGTTTTAGGCTGGCCCAGCAATCATGGCAAGAGAACGCATTTCTGAATTTTGGTTAGCATGAACTTGACCCCTCTTCTAAGCCTCTGGCAGCCAGGAGACCTCAACTTCTGGATCTAGGCTTTTGCCAAGAAGAGGGAGGAAGCCATAACATTGGACTTGACTGACGGGACTCTAATAAGAATGGTTCTGTTTGAGCTTGGCCAGATTAGCACAGCCTCATTGGGCTCAGAGTCTTTCGGTGTTGACTGTTACAAGGAGCGACCCACCTCGCCCCAACAGCAGGCTGACCCGTGGTTCTCATCTGCTGCCCATCAGGTGTTCTGCCTCAGCTTTGGCAGAGGGAAGCTTATTTTCTTCATTCTGGGGCAATTCATAGGGGTAAAACCAACACGAACAACATCCGAGCTTTATGTTCTCAGTGATAGAATGAAGGAAACACAAATTAGGGCAGTGATGAATGAATTTCCCACACATCTGACTCGCAAGATCTAGCAAGACATATCGGTCTGTTTTCTGTTAAGATGATGCAATATGATATGGCTGAGCTGGGGTACTTAGTGAGAAAAGGTTTAATTATTTTACAGTTTTGGAGATTGAAAGTCCAATCAGCATGGGTTGGTTCGGCTCCTATCTAGTGAGGGAACTGGAGCATGGCATTGTGGGCAGACAAGAGGAAGGTATTAGCACAGGACAGGAAGTCTGGGTGAAGGGAAGGCCAGGGTTCCTCCTACAGCAATGCTCTGATCAGGAAGACCAGTTTAATCCCTCCGAGGGCATGCCCTCAGTGACCCAACCTCCTCCCACTCCCACCTTTAGAATGTCCTGTCATCTCTCACCGTCACCACAGGGAGGACAGAGCCTCCGACTCATGAGTCCATGGGGTACCCTATGTCTGAGTCAAAGCAGTGTGAAAGAAAGAGGACCCATGGTGGCCATGGATGAGAGATGAGCTGCTAAGGACCAGCCTGGATAGCTCCTGGCAATGCTGGGTGAGGCGGAGGTCCTCATTTCCCAAGACTGGGCACTTGGAGGCCTCTAGAGGCTCCTGGGACTGACTCAGAATGGCCAGGTGATCATGGTAGCATTGCCTGCAAGAGGGAAGAGTGGAGAGCTCACCAAAGCAACGCAGGAGAGAGGAGTCTGTTCTCACTCACGATTCCAGGCTGTCAATCCATTCCAGAGACATTGATGCAGCAGGAATGCGGAACACCTGTTCACATCACGTTCACGTCAGATGCAGGAGAAAGTGAATGTCTGTCCCTTTCCTTGCTGGCGCTCAGCTCAATTTCTATACTCGTATACAGTTCAGGATCTTTTGCCTAGGGAATGGTGACTCCCACGGTGGGCTGGGTCTGCCTATATCAGTCAATTTAATTAAGACTCCCCTCTCCCACAATCAACTTGTTTTGGATAATTTCTTGTTAAGACTCTCTCCCTGGTCTTTCTAAGTTGCGTCAGGTTGACAAAGTTAACCATTACAGGCTCTCATAGTAAGAAAAGATCTGAGAACCAACCAGCAGCCTTCAGACCTGAGGGGCAGAACTCAAAGAGAAGACTGGCCACCTGCAACTTGGGAAAGAGATCTCACCAGGGCACAATAGTAAGCTGGCTCCCTGAGAGTGAGGACATCCAACCTCAAGACAGTGGCTGGCCAGACCTTAGTTTCTGATGTTCTGTTTCAGCTCCTGAGCTCACAGGGCTTATGTCAGGGCCATAGCCTCATACAGAGCTATGCGAATGTGGAACCTTGCGGCCAGGACCCAAGGTAGTGATTACTGAAACAGTGGCTCTGGCTGTGGGTGTGTCAGAGTTCAAGGGCAGAGCTTTGCAGCTGTTGGGTCAAGTCACCCTGGCTTCTGGGCTCTTCACGTGTTAGGAAAAGTATCCCTCCCACTAGATCTTTTCCTGATTGCTGAGCCCCACCTTCAGCGACTCACAATCATCGTAAGTCAGGGGCAGGTGACGTTCACCCTCTGCCCACTCTCTGGGTGCTCCGTGTCCCTCTTTACCCGAGTCTATGTCTGTGAAGACCCAGTTCAGAGCTGACCAGGACAGTCTGTGAGC